TCCAAGGATCATTCCTCGAGCCCCCTCCAAAGTTGTTGATCTCGAGGATGACATAGTTCCTATGATGGCCTCAATTACCGAGGAGTTTGAGAGGTGCCACTTGGTCCCGAGCCTTGTCACAAAATACAGAGAGGACGTTGAGCTTGCTGAGGGCGTCAAGGCCCTTAAGCTCCTTACCATGAAAGTTATCCTCGATACTTTTACTTTGAATTCTTTTTGTTTGCTGTGCTGATCATGATGCTCGAGGTTTACTGCTTTCAAACTTTGAGTGTTGCTCGAGGACTCACCCAGAGAGGGCTTGGGAAGTCCAGGAGAATTGTTGAGATTATGGAGTCCTCGAGCATTAAAGACAAGAGGATTGCTGAGCTCGAGGTTGAGCACGAGGCTTGGCTGAAGGAGCGCGAGGATGCTCGTAGGGACAACGGGAAGTTGAGGGACGAGGTTAGGGCTGTGAAGGACGAGGCCGAGGAAGCTAAACTCGAACTAATGCAAAAGACCAAAGAGTTTGAAGACAAGATCTCGGAGGCCAAGGAGCGAGTTTGGGAAGAATTCAAGACGTCCGAGGACTGCGACAAAATCAAGGACGAGTACGCCTCGGGCGCCTACCTTTATGCTTTTAAGGAGGCCCGAGCTTTCCTTCGCACAAGGTTGCCCGACGTTCGCCCTGAGGACCTGAAGACAATGCCCTCCATTGCTAATACTCTCGAGTAGCCAGAGTCTGACGATGGAGGAACGAATGAGGACGACGATGGCATGGAGAGGGAAGAGGCTGAGGATGCAGATGATGAGATCGATATTACGAACCTCGATCCCCTTTCTGACATATAGGCTAGGCATCTCCCACCTCGATCCTTTGTATCCTGATCTTTCTGTTTTTACTTTTTGACAATGTAATCGAAGTATTTTCCTCGAGGATTGTGATGTTAGTAATGAACGAACTTTCGTCCTGTGTTAAATTTTTACGATAAATGATGTGCTCGATCTCGATCACTATTCTCGAGGACCAATATACCTCGATCACTTTGTTTCAAGAAATATGATGACTGTGCATATGGAAGTCCTCGAGGGGTTCTACACCTCGAGGAGTGTCAAAGTTTAATTAGCCTCAAAAATGGTCTCGAGCGTTATGTTGATTTAATATCTGCTAAACCTCGAGGAGTATTATTATCGAGGACAAATGTCTCAAGCACCAATGTTTTGTGTATGTTTTTTCAAAGGGATGGCCTGGGATAGGGACTTTATCATGTGGATTGGAGCTAACAATAAACATGTCTCGAGGACTTTGGCCCCCGAGGACATGATCCCCATTTCAAGTGCAGGTTGAGTTTTGAGATGCTCGGTATATAGAGTGGTCGAGACTTTTACTTAGCATTATATTGATTTAAAAACAGCTTCAAGGTGTATGCACGGAGCAGGGCCTAGAGTGCTTGTGCGAAGCAAGGCTTTGTAGTGCCTGTGGAGCAGGGCTTTGTGGTGCTTACGCTAAGCAAGTTTTTGTAGTGTTTGCGCAGAGCAAGGCTTTGTATGCTTGCACGGAGCAAGGCTTTGTGGTACCTACGCTGGGTAGGGCTTTGTATGCTTACATGGAGCACGATTTTGTGGTGCCTGCGCGAAACAGGTCTTTGTAGTGCATGCGTGGACCAGGGCTTTGTATGCTTGCAAGGAGCAAGGCTTAGTAATGGCTGCACGAGGTAGGGCTTTGTGGACTTCACGTCTCAAGATGTAACTTTCATTGCAATATACTAAAAAAGGGCTTGGCACATAGGCCTAACCACATAGGAAAAACTTTTGGACTTGGCACGCAGGCAAAAAATAACTTTTGACTGACAACTAAAAATAAATTGACTTGGCACGTAGGCCTGATAGCATTATAAGGGAAGTTACTTGTAATATATTTTCAAGTTTTCAACGTTTCATGGCCTTGGCAGCGGTCTTCTCGACGTATCTCTTAGACTGTAAGCCCCTCCACGAATCTGTCGTATGACTTCAAAATGACCTTCCAAGATGGGCCCGAGCTCTCCAGGTGCATGGCCAGCTACTTCAGCCCTTCTTAACACAAGGTCTCCTGCTCTAAACTCTCGGGGTGTCACCCTTCTGTTAAAGTGCTTTGCTGTCTTGTCTTGGTAAGAAGTTATTCTTAAAGAGGCCTGTTTCCTCACTTCCTCGAGGAGGTCAAGATGCTCTGTTGTGTGTTCCGAAGCCTTAGGCTGGGTATACTGACTTCGACGGGGATCATGGCTTCGACGTCGAAGGCTAACATGAATGGAGTCTCACCGGTTGCAGTCTTGTGAGATGTTCTATAAGTCCAAAGTATTGAGGGTAGCTCATCTGACCATGTTCCTATAGCATCGCCAATCCTTGTGCGGAGATCTTGTAGTATAATCATATTTGTCACCTCGGCCAGACCATTGCTCTATGGGTGCGAAACCGACGTTAGTCGATGGTCAATCCCAAAGCTTATACAAAAGTTCTTGAAGTGGGGATTGTCAAATTGCCTATCATTATTCGTTATGAGGACTTTTGGGATCCCGAACCGGAAAATAATAGATTTCTACACGAAGATCCTCAACTTAGGCTCTGAAATGGTTACCAAGGGTTCAGCCTCTGCCCAATTGGTAAAGTATTCCATTGCCACTGCTGCAAACTTTAATTGTCCCCTTGTGACAAAAAAGGGACCGAGGATATCAACACCCCATTGCTCAAACGGGGTCGGGATGCTGATGTTAGTGAGATCCTCAACGGGAAAATGGATGATGTTGCCAAACCTCTAACACTTGTCACATCTATTAACAGTCCAAGGCGTCTTTCTTCATGGTAGGCCAATAGTATCCATATCGCACAAGTTTGAAGGCAAGGGACCAGGCTCCTTGGTTGTTCCCATACACTCCTTTATGGACTTCAGTCAGGGCACGGGACGCCTCTGATGGCTTGAGGCATCTGAGGTATGTGAGTGTGAAGCTTCTACGAAATAATACCCCCCCTAATCATGCAGTACGTGGGTGCCCTAGATCGAATACTCCTAGCTGCTCGTGGATCTTCTCGGAGGCTTCCATTTGTTATGAAGTCTATTATTGGATCCATCCAAGATGGTTCGTGATCAATGTCCATGACGCCATTGGTCTGGCTGATACCAGGTTCTATCAGAATCTTGATGTGTACATTCATATCCAATCTATTCACACCCAAGAACACGAGCCTTGACAGTACGTCGGCTTTACAATTTTGTGCTCTATCAACCTTTACGACTTCACAAGTCTTAAACCGCCTCTGAAGATCATGAACCTTCAAGCAATACAGGCTCATTTTCTCATCTTTCCTTTCAAACGAACCTTCGATTTGTCCAACCACGAGCTGAGAATCACTGAAGAGTTTGATATGTTCGAGCTCAAGATTAAGAGCCAATTCCAGAGCGACGATGACTGCCTCATATTCCGCTTCATTGTTAGTGGCTTCAAATTCAAATCTAAAGGCGCACTGAATCTCCGTGCTCTTATTGGGGCTAATGATGATGACCCTGGCACCCGATCCCGAGGAGTTGGTTGTCCCATCCACGAAAAAATTTCAGCATGCCAGAGTATCCCCTCCAGATCTGTCCTCTGGCCCCCGGGGCCTTGGTGTGAATTTCACAATGAAGTCTCCTAGAGCTTTAGCCTTTATAGAAGGATGAGGTTTAAACTCAATATCAAATTCTTCCAGCTCAATAGCCCATTTCAATAACCTCCTGGAGACGTCGGGTTTCTAGAGTATGTGCTTGAGAGGCTGATTGGTGAGTACAACAATGGGATGTGACTGAAAATACTGCCGAAGCTTGCGAGCTGTTGTTACCAAGGCAAGGGAAAGTTGGTCGGCCAACATGTATCTGGTTTCTGCTTCAAGTAATACTTTGATCGTATAATAATTGGTTGCTGGGCCTTGTTAATCTCTTTCACTAGCACACCACTGACCGCATTCTGAGAAACGGCTAAGTATAAAAACAAGGTATCCCCGGGCTCAGGTTTAGTTAGAATTGGCGGGGATGCTGATGTTTGCTTGAACTCTTGAAAAAAAATTTCACACTCGCCATTTCAGTCGAAATTTCGATTGTCCCTAAGGACCTTGAAAAAGGAAAGCATCTGTCCGTTGCCCGGGACATGAACCTGTTCAAGGCGGCCGCTCGACCTGTCAGCTTCTGAACTTCTTTCCTATTCCTGGGTGATTCCATGGATGCCAAGGCATGTATCTTGTCTGGATTGGCCTCTATCCCCCTGTGAGTGATCATGAACCCCAATAATTTTTTTGAAGCTATTCCGAATGCACATTTTGCTGGGTTAACTTTCATCATGTACTTTCGCAAGGTGCTGAAGACTTCCTCTAGATCGGATATATGCTGGCTTACCTGCTTACTTTTTACTACCATGTCATCGACATAGGCTTCAACCTTCTTCCCGATTAGTTGGGCAAAGATCATGTTGATGAGCCTTTGGTATGTTGCTCCTGCATTCTTTAAACCAAATGGTATGACCTTATAACAGTATATGGTTGAATCTGTCATGAAAGATGTCTTCTCTTGATCTTTTTCGGCCATAAAAATCTGATGGTAACCTGAAAATACATCTAAGAAGCTATACAATTTGTGTCCTGCTGTGTTGTCCACAAGGTTGTCAATCCGAGGTAAGGGATAGCTGTCATTCGGACAAGCCTTGTTGAGGTCTGTAAAATCAATGCAGACCCTCCATTTGCCATTGGCCTTTTTCATCAAGACTACGTTAGCAAGCCATCCGGGATACTGGACCTCCCTGATGATACACGCGCTGACAAGCTTATCAATTTCTTCACAAATGATCTCCAGTCTTTCTGGCGCAAACTGTCTCTTTATTTGCTTCACAGGTTTGGCTCCTGGACTAATATTGAGCCTGTGGACTGCAACACTTGGATCTATGCTTGGCATGTCTTCTACTTTCCTTGCGAAGACGTCGATGTTTCGAGCCAAGCAGCCAATTAGTTCCACCGGAAGACCTTCATCAAGGTCTCGACCAATGCTCAACTTTTTCCCCGACCTCCAGCTCGACCTCCATTAATTCTTCCACAGGGGAGAGCCTGCCCCTGTGGTCGGGGTCTGGCTCATCATCAGAAAGTTGCATGACGTCACTACCTGCCTCCCGTAGGCTGGTAATATAGCATTGCCTGGCTGCTTTCTGATCTCCATGTACCACTCCGATGCCATGACCTGAGGAAAACTTCATAAAAATGTGGAATGTGGATACGATCTCCCTAATCTTATTGAGCAATGGTCTACCCAGAATAGCGTTGTAAGCCATTGATGCATGGACCACCTGGAAAGGTATGACTTCTGTCACTTGCTTTGGATCTATCCCTAAGGTAAGGGATAACTCGATGACACCTTCTGGGACAATAACACCCCCACCAAATCCCTGCAGAGGAGTTTTCACAGGCTTTAACTGTTGAGCTGAATTTCCATCTTACTGAAGGCTTCGTAGGTCAAGATGTTTGCTGCACTTCCATTGTCGATCAAGATCCTTTTTACCTCGAAGTTGGCAATAATTGTCGAAATAAATAAGGCATCGTCATGAAGAAGGGACACGCCATCCATGTCTTTAGTTCCAAATGTAATGTCCTCTAGACGATCATCGATAACTCCAAATGCCGAGGATTGCTGTCTTGCACATTGCTTTCGCCCCTTGTTTGAATCTCCTCCTGATGCAATGCCTCCAACAATGATGTTAATAGTCCCGACTATTAGTTTGCGACTATCCCTGGTCTCCGGGGCTTTCTCCTTTTCACGGTCATTCCTCGGGCGTTTGTTACTACTAACATATGAACCGAGGAGTCCCTTTCCCACAAGTGCTTCAATCTCCCATTTCAAGGCTATGCGGTTCTCCGTGATATGTCCATGATCCCTGTGAAAATCACAATATTTATTCCGATCCCTGGTCTCCGGAGGTGATTTTATTCTAGGCGGCCATTGGAACTCTTTCATAGCCTTTATTTCCATCACTATGTTGACTCTTGAAGTATTCAACTTGGTGAATGATGATAGCGGGGTTTCTAGCCTCTGCTTGTTCTGAGGGGCCTCTTGTCGTTGACTTGAGTCATGCTGTCTTTTGTGCTCGACCCTTTCGTGGGTCGGGCCGACTCTCTTTGAATTCAACGTCTCCTCCATATTAATGTACTTCTCTCCTCTGGTCAAGAGCTCGGTTACTTACTTCGGTGGTGTTTTTGACAAGGACATCTTGAATGCCTTGTACCTTATAGCATGAGTAAGAGTTGAGACGGTCGCGATGATATGGAGATCGTGGATCTGCAACCTTTCCTTGTTGAACCTTGTTATGAAGTCACGGATAGTCTCATTCTGTCCCTGGCAGAGTTGCATAAGGGAAGTCGCCGTCTTCCTGATGCGCTTGCTACTGGCAAAAAAGGCAGAGAACTTGTCGGCTAAGTCTGCGAATGAGGATATGGAGTTGGGTTCAAAGGTCGAGAATCAATCCCTGGCAGCGTTGGTCAGCATTTGTGGGAAAGCCTTACACATCACCTGGTCTGGAGCGACTTGCAGATTCATGACGTCAGTATAAATGTTAAGATGGTTTATCGGATTAGTAGTCCCATCATACTCCTTGATGCGGGGATACTTGAATCTATCCGGCAGGGGTAACGACAATATCTCAGGAGTGAAAGGAGTATTGGGGGGAAGCATGTTGTCCCCTTATCCTTTTGCTTTAGGCTGGCGATTATACCCTTCTAGATGATTCTAGCGAGTTCGCCGGAATCCATTGTTACTGCTCTCAAGGCCGAGCCCATGTTAGGTATACCCGAGGTTCCAGCTCCATCATAACCCAGAACTGGGTGTGGGGCTCGAGCCCAATCATCTGCCATAAAACCACCTTCAGGAGTCGGCGTATGTGTTGGGTATGAATTCCTCTGGCTTAACAACTGAGTGAGTGTAGCAACTTGTTGACGAATCTCTTCAAAAGCCACGGTGGTAACAACGGCTTGTTGGGGCGCTGGTATTTCTGATGACTCTTCGTGAGGAACAAGATGACCTTCTGGGAGTGCATGAGGATTTAGGGCGGAAGAACTTGCTGGAGGAAGACCCGATCATGAATTCATCATGGCTTTTGGTAGCATTTCCCATAGACGGCGCCAATGATGCTACCAAAAATCGTACCTTACGGAACCCGAGGATGATGACTGATAATGAACACGAACAAAGCCTTCTAAGTACCTAAAACAAAAGCAACGAGGTGTGTGCTCGTCGCCCCTCCGATACTTAAGTTAGAAAAGGGATTCAAAGATGAATATATGCTGAAAGTTGTGTATGTAGAACGTACCTGAATAATGGACCTGGGTCCTGTATTTATAGCGGTAGGTAGTATACTCCTAGTAAGATTGAAAAAGTTGGACGTTCTTATCCAATAGAGTCCCGCTTGAGAGAAGTATATTAGTTGTAATGTAATTGCATAACCAATGATACTATTGTTGACATAGAGTTCTTGTGGACGTAGGAGTCCTGAGTTGAGATGTTTGAATCATATTAGAGTCCTTAGAATGTAAGACTTCTTATGGGCTCAGATAAAGAGTTTGGTTGGAAGGGTAGTGCTCGATTATTTCACCCTGAGGACTTATGAATTTTGGGGAGAGAAATGGAGTCCTCGGGAAAAAATCCCGAAGACCATAAAACCCCGAGGATTAGACCTTCAGAATGGAATCATAAGATTATGTAACATCCTCAAGGTACAATAGTCCTCGAGACGTACCAGTCCTCGAGTGTTCAACTTGGCAATATCACTACCTATACCTAGGAAGTAGGAATTAAAAGTATGGTTGGGGCTAATACTCTTAACCAATGTTACAACAAGTGTAAATTATGATTAGGTGTAAAGGCTAAGTTTCAACCTTTATGAGCCCAATCATAATAAAGCATTTCCTTATTTCTAATATTATTTTGAATTTTTAATCATTTTAAAAATTATATAATAATTAAATAATACATACCAAATATCTAAAATTACAAAATATTATATTTACTTGATAATTATTACAAATAGTCAATTATACAATTTTCAAATTTTCGAAATACAAAAATTACACTATTTTTCATAGTTTCAACTTTTAACTAAATAAGTTCTACTTAACATATTTATAAGAACTGTATACATATTTTTGAAGCTTTCAATAAAACGACAAGTCTCAAAATCATAATTACATAATACAGATAGCACTGTAACTTAAATATTATCTAAATATTTATTGCATAAAAACATTTTGAACTTTTGTATAGAATAAAGTCATTTAAAAACTTGAATATAAAATCCAATAAAAATCTTTCTTTTAAAAAAAATAAAAAGTTCATAAAATAAAATCAAATAAAAGGTTTTTAAAAAAAGGGAAAAATGTAAAAATAATCAAATTTATAAAACGCACCTAGACGTGCCGAATCGTGTAGTTGACCGCTTAATTCGCGCTTACTCTTGATATAAAGCGTTTTGTCCTAACTTCACATCTAAATATATGTTTTAGAATATTGCTCTTAATTATCTAATTGTTTATTGGATCCATCATATACACCAAATAGTTCAACCATGTCACATACTAGTCATCATTACATCATAGGCATGTGACATTTCACATTCCGTCCTAGGCAAATGAGCAGGGGTGTTAACTGCAATAATTTTGCGCAATGATCAAGGTGTGAGAAAGTACTACTTGTTGAAGGCATCAAGCGTTGGATCCATATCGCCACGGATTCAAGAGGCCAATTTGGTTCAACTATGGATAGATATTCATGGATCTCAAAGTGATGATGCAACAAGGCTACTCGATGTTGCGTCACCTCAAAGGAAAAATAGACGAGGCGTTGGGCTATGCTACTAACATTTTGGATGGAAAAGGGTAGATGAAAAGATGGAACGATGGCCACATTTCCACACTCAAACCATAGACGATGCTGATGGAGCGCTCTAACATTTTGCTTAGCTAGCAGTCACATGATTTGCCACTTAAACAAAGCGGTTTTATGTCATGCAATGCAACATGACATAATGTGTAACTTTTAATTTAAAATTTAGAAGAAAAAATTTTATTCAAACATATTTCAAAAAAAATAATTAGTCATTGTTTGATTCAGCTAAAAAAGTAAATTAAAGTCAATATTTAATTTTAATCACATTTCATGATACTCACAACTTTTTAATTATACGTTCCATAAAATTTTATCAAAATCTACTAAAAATTTGACTAAACGGGGGCTTAGTAATTTTTACTTACTTTCAAGGGAGTCAAATATACTCTAAAGACTTATTTCTAATAAATATGAAATCGCTCTAATAAAGTTTATGTTAGATGTTAACCTACTATAATTTTCTTTATTTATTTAATCAAATCGAATAGACTATTAAAAGAAATAAACAATATACATCGACGACCCGATTTTATATTTCTATTACGACGTATACATACAATTGTTAAAGTAACACGTGGTTGGCCCAAACAACACTTAAGCTTTAAATCACTTGCCCCAACTTGAAGCATAAGTTGGATGGATCTGTTGAATTTTGAGGCATATATCAATGGACTAATTCTACGAAAATTTTTATCTTTGACTTAATCAAGCGAAAAATAACAAATTACCAATCAACTAATACGTTTTTTATTTCCTTCCTGTTTTTGTTTTGTTTGCACAATTCTGTTGGTCCTCCTTTCATTGACCTCTTTTAAGGATTGACCTGACAATAAAGAGTGTAGACAAAAAAATTTCGGGAGGAAAAATACTCCAAAATTTTTAGTAGATTTAATTAAAGTTAATAAAATATATTATTAAAAAATTGATTAGAGCCCGTTTGAGCCACATTATAATGATAATGAGAAATAGAGTCGTTATGGGCCCACACCAGAGATAGAAATTCAAAAATGGTGGCTTGATGTGATGGATAACGGTCATATTTTTCATTTTAATGAGGTAAAAATGGGGCTCAAACAGGGGCTAAAATAAATTTTTGACTTAAACTTTTATCAATTTTCTTAGTTCAACCGAATGTGATCATAATAACGAACTTGTACATTACTATAATAACACGTAGTAAGATAAAGTGTATTGTAGATTATAAAGAAATTAGCATATGACTGGCATCAATTTTTTCAAAAACTCATTTTTAATCATATATTTTTCAATAAAATAATTTTACATCTAAATTCAAAACTTTTTGTTATTTTTAATCACATATTTTTCAACTAAATACTATTCCGAAATGTATTTTGGACCAAAAATGAGATTCAAAGAGGGGCTAAATAAAAAATTACCAATCTTATTTAATTTTATCCTATATGAAATATATGAGCATTGACGAATGAATTTAAATAAATAAATGTGTCCATTTTTAATAGTTCAAAATTTTGAAGGTAATTAGCACAGTACCCCTAACCTTTATCTGTTTTGTGGAATCTCTCTTTATTACATTTTATTTCATTTTCTCAATAAATCCTTGTGAAATGACGATTTTATCCTTTTCTTTAAATACGAAAAATTTAAAAACATAAGAAGGTATTTCACAAAGCAGGCAAAGTTTGGGGAAGTATTATGCCAATTATCCTCAGAATTTTGAACTATACAATTAATAGTAACATCCAAAAATAAAACATTTACCTTCAATTCTTATCGTAACTCATTTATGAAAATTTTGTCGGTATCAAATTGATAAAGAGAATTGGTGTTTTTCTACGGTGAGTCTAGCTGCCCATTTTGTCAATTAAAGTTGACCGGGTCAACAATAAAATCAACGCTACCGCTACAACAGGTTTTGGACCTTTTGGTTGCTTTAATTCATCGCAATCTCTTTGTTTATTTCGTTTGTCGTTTTATCCATGTCTTATTTCTATGGCTGTAAATGGTCTATTTTTTTAATTAATAACGTATAACTTTCGTGACCAAAAAACAAAATAAAATATTCGACAGATTGTGTGACATATTTTACCATTTATTTTTACCTTAATCCGTCCAACTTAATAAAAGAATATCCCCATTGGTTAAAAATAATAAAAAATAATATTAATTATGCAATTTTGAAAGGAAGCGTGCATCAAATATTAAGGAGGTTGTTCTTGCCCGACGAGAGCTCCAAGTACTGACTTGAAATTGTTATCAATATGATTTTAGTGAGGTCTGAAAGGATATACACTCAATTACCGATATTCTATGAATTAATAAGAAGGCCAATGAATTGGTAATGTTAAATATGAGAGAGTTACTTAATTTGGTAGATTGTTTTCATGGAACCATGCTACAAGTACATAATCTTTTACCTAATTTTTTTACCTACTACTCACAACATGGAGTGGGGACCACGGCTCGCAATTTTTTAATAACATGTGGCCTGCGTGTTTTTGAGGGGGGGACATAGTTCATTTACCCTCCTCGGTACATATATATTTATTCGTTTTCATGGGGCATAGGCCTTCTAAAAGGTAACAGTCCAAACGGAGGTGTGCGAAGATTTTCTCGAACCGAACTCTCCAATGCAAAGACAAAAGACAGCTTGAGTGCAAGACATGGGAATCCCAAGAGCCCTTAACTTGAAAGAATCAAATTGTTGTCTCAATGCTATTGAATTTGCACTTCATCATAAAGAGTTTCAAGGAAAATTCATATTGGATTCGTATTTAGTGACGAGTATCTTCATCTCTCTTAACAGAGCGAAAGCAATGAATATTTACGCCAAAAAAAAAAGTGAAAATAAAATAAAATTAAACAACCTAAATATATTTTTTCCTCTTTGTACATATTAACTTCTATATAAACACACACGTGTGCCTGCGTGCGTGCGTACGTGTCGATACATACTTGAATGAATTTGTACCAACTAATTTGGCCACCAGTTTTGGATATGAAGTGAATGGAATTTTTATACTGGCACTTATGCATGAAAATAACAGGTTGAAATATGACATTTTATATTACTATTAAGTTGAGGGTCCTTTCGAGAAATTGCATATGAAAGACCAAACTTTTGTGCCAATTTTCCTGATGATATTCAGACTAAATCCAAATAAAATTGTCCATAATTAATTAAATAACCATGTCCGAATTTAACCATTCTATCATCTAGAAGATGTTCTACTTCTATATATGAAGAATTAACGAATTGAGAATTTAGTGAAGAAACATCCTTTTCAAGGACAGCATGGTCGGCACTTGCTAAATTATATAATCCTTTCGTGAATGGTTTAGCAGTTAATCTAATGGAATATACTACTTGTACATAATGAGATATCCACGGGGACTCACTTCAAATAAATTATATTTTATTCAAAATAAGCTCCCCTCCATGTGAGGGTGTGGACATCGCTATGGATACCCTGATATGCATGTAGCATACCCTAAAATTAAATGGTCAATATAAATTGTTGATATGATAAAACGTATAGTTAAAATTAATTTTTTTTTATCAATTTTTTGGCTAAGCCAAACAATTTCTTAGATTATGTTTGATGCACCTCTAATAAAAAATTTAATAAATAGTGCAGAGTAAATGGAAGTATAATAGATTAAGAGAGATATTATTCTTTATTTTTACTTAAAAGATAGTTATTTGCAACATCAACCATATAATATATTGCAAACTTTGGAGGTGGATTAATGCCTAATATGAAAAGATATAGTTATTATGACATTTTAGAATTTAAAAAGTCAAGTCATGTTGTCCCCTTAATATACCGTAATACCTTCTACCTAACAAATAACAATATTTATTATAATTTTATGAAAAATTCTTTATACGATTCAATTCAGTACAACAAACACAGCCTTAATCCTCCTCTTCAGTCGTCGCACTAGCATAAGAACAAAGCAAGGTTACAAGCTGAACCTCTATAAGCTCATTAGAGCTAAGCAAACATATTAAATAAAGCCTTTATTCGGCTCACGTTTTTTAAAATTCATTTTTCCTCAAACTCATTTTTAATTAAACATCTTATGCGATTGACGACTTTATCAACTTTAAATCACACATTTATATACTAAATCTTAATTTTTAACTTAAACTAATCAGGGGCTGAGTAGATCCAACCACTTATTGAGTCCTAAGCAACGGTTGCATGCGTAATGTAAAAACGTTATGTAAATGGATCAAAATAATGGAAATAAATGAAGTAAACAATAGTGGTGTTGGGTATATGCAAGGAATTTCTTGCATATTGTTTGTCCAAGAAGATAAAAATTACATGGCTGCGCGTCAAATTCCACAATAAGAGAAAATCAGTGCCAGGTGTAAGCCCCCACAATACTTCGAAGCATGACTAAAGCATTTTCAAAAAACATATTTAGACCCTGAGAATGAGACTGAGAATGAGAATGAGAATGAAAAATATTTTTCTACAAAAGAGATAGAAATTCAAATTTGGTGGCTTGATATGATGGATAACAGTCATATCTTTCATTTTAATGAGAAAAGAATGGAAAACAAATAGGGGCTTAAATATTTTCAAAAATAATTTTAATGTCGAGCAATTTTTGACTTTTCAATAATCTTGACAAACGAACCATATATGCCTCTTCCACAATCCCTCTTCCTCTTCCACAATCCCTCTTCCACAATAAGTCAGAAGTCAAATTTCCCTTGCTTTCCTCGAAGTTTTCAGTCTTCGTTTACTAGGTCTCTAAATTCTTGCAAAACATATTCTATTCGAGTATAGTCTTTTCTCCTATATATATACCCCATGCTTTGAAAGTAGCACATGATGTTATATATTACATCAATGGCCTTATAATAAGCTCATATTTAGCTCAAACCTCTCATACATAAATTCAGTACTTTCTCGTGAATTACTAAATTAGAAAGCAAGATTCCTTCATAAAGAATAACAAGTAGCGGATCAAAATAAGTTTGTGTCTATTCACAGGTGTATGGTTTCAGAATTTCTTGTGAAGTTGCTCTAAGTTTGGCAAAGAATCATTAAAAAGAAATGGCAGCCAAGGGTGGACGCTCCCTCGAAGAAACGCCAACGTGGGCTGTGGCTGTTGTCTGCTTTCTTCTTGTAGCAATTTCAATTATCATCGAGTATATCATTCACCTAATTGGAAAGGTATTAGTATTATTTCTGCATGAGATTAATGACGATTAAGAAGATCTTATCGGCCTATTTAGAGATGTTTCGCAAGGCTTCCTCTAAAAGTCCTTTTAAAAAGACAAATCACTTCCAAAAAATTATTCAAACATATTCAAAAGCAGCTTTTTAATCTTAAAAGCAACTTTTAACTTTTCAAAAGCCCTACCAAAATGAACTCAATAACTTTCTTTTGATAAAACTTGAGCCCATATCTTGATGGTTTTCAGTGGTTGACAAAGAGAAACAAGAAAGCTCTACATGAGGCACTTGAAAAGGTTAAATCAGGTTAGTTATTTGCTATCACCTCATGTAAGCATAGAGTTTCCTCAGCTTCACACTACAAATTTGCTAAAACAGATTAAACAGCAAGGTATTGAGAAAGAAAATAAGTTAAAAACATAATCTATTATACTGTCAAGTATAATCTAATATCGTAAATGAAACTTGCACTTACCGCTATAAGCACTCTTTCTGTCTTCCTCAGAGCTGATGCTACTAGGCGTCATATCTTTACTGCTGACAGTAGGACAAGGACCCATATCAGAGATCTGTGTATCAAAGGCTATAGGAAATACTTGGCATCCATGTGACAAGAAACAGGAGAAGAGCAGATACAAAGATGATACCAAGGATGATGGCCATAGAAGGCTTCTCGCTTATCTGGATTCCGGTGATACTCATGGACGTGTTCTGGCTGCCGCGGGATATGACAAATGTGCTGACAAGGCATGATCAATGATTTACTTTGCATCCGTCATCAACCATCATAAGTAGTTTTCAAAATTATATGATGATTTTTTACTTCATGTGGGACAAATTTTAACATTTTAATGTTGTTTTAAAAATATTTTTAGAATTTTGATGACTAATATAACATGACAGTAACTAAAAAATAAATAATAGAGTAGCAGTTGATAAGGAATTTGAATAAATTTGTTTACAAGAAATAAACTATTTTAATTGATGAAAGTTAAAAGTAACCAAGCTATTCATACAAGGCCAGAATTACTTCAAAAAAATTAAGTTTTTTTTTACTAAAAAGTTGGAAAAAGGTAAATTATTCAAAAATATTTAGAAACCAAAACATTATTTAAAAAATTTGTACCTTCTCTAAGCTATCCAAACATGCTCTTACAAATGATTGACTGCAAATTTTGCAGGGACAAGTTCCATTGGTCTCCTCGGATGGCATCCACCAATTGCACATTTTCATCTTTGTGTTAGCTGTTTTTCACGTCCTAGCCTGTCTGATCACTATAACTTTAGGCAGGGCCAAGGTAATATAATTTTTGGACCGAGCTGGGTGTACAGGCCCAGCTCTTATAGACCCTTACAGGGGTCTCACAGGGGTGGGGTCAGGATTTTTTTTTCATTTTTTATTACATCGGGGCCACGTGGGGCTGACCCATGTGAGGGGTCTATAAGACTACTGTGAATATTTGCCCTGTACACATGGCTTTATTCATAATTTCCTCTCATCCCTCTTTCTCAAATAATATACTTTAAAATCTAATTTTCCTTCTCAATGTTTTTCTTTTGACCATAGATGAGGAAATGGAAGGCATGGGAAATGGAAACCAGGACAGCTGAGTATCAATATAGCCATGGTACATTTTGTTTCACCATAAAACTTCCATTGTAGATCCTGCGAGAAAATAATGCATTACTGGCATGTTTGGGAATTGGAAAAGACATCATTAGACAGTACTAAAGAATAAAAAGACGTTAGAATATTGTCCATTGTTTTCTCTAGTATTGTCTAATACTGCATACAAAACATAGCCAGTAGGTCACAGCAGAAAGCATATTTTGTGATAAAAATAGGATATATATATATACACATACACATTGCAGATCCAGAGAGATTCAGACTTGCACGGGATACCTCATTCGGAAGAAGACATTTGAGCTCCTGGAATCAATCTCCCATCCTTCTTTCAGTGGTAAGATGAAAAAAAATAAAATAAAAAACAGAGCATCTGCTGCTGGTTTCAGCCAATAGTGCTGATTTCCATTCTCAAATTATTTGCAATGTAAAGGTGAAAACATATTTTTTATTTCCTACCTTATCTTCGGAATTTCCAGGTATGTTTCTTTCGACAATTTATCAGATCAGTTCCAAAAGTGGATTACTTAACTTTACGTCATGGGTTCATCAATGTAAGTTCTTCGTTAGATTAGCAAATGTATATTACTTAAACATACACACAAGCACAGACACAGATGAAAATCTTAACGTGTACGATGTTAACAGGCACATTTAGCACCAAATAGTCAAGCTAACTTCAATTTCCAGAAGTACATTAAAAGGTCGCTTGAAGAAGATTTCAAAGTTGTTGTAGGTATAAGGTGCGATGCATCGAACATTTTTCATGACAATATTTGGCATTTGAATGTCATTTTATTAGTGTAATGAGATGTAGAAATAGTTACATGCCATGCAGGGATGTAATAGCTTAAAATTATTAGCAAAATAAGCACAATTAAACAAATGAGTAAATTTTAATTCCAAGATACTAACTTATTCTCAATTCTGCAGTCCACCAATCTGGTTCTTTGCAGTGTTGTTCCTTCTGTTTAACACCCATGGTAAGCAAATTTACTCTCTTTTAATTTTCCTTTTATCCTGGTGGGAAATTTCTAATTTTGCTTTAATGGAAACAGGCTGGCATTCCTACCTGTGGCTACCCTTTACCCCACTGATTGTAAGCTCTATTTCAACCTGTTCGATCTACTTATTTTCCACAGAAAACAATGTTCCGCAAAAAAATCGTACTTATGTTTCCTCTACAGATAATCTTGGTGGTAGGAACAAAACTTCAGTTTATAATCACCGAGATGGGTTTAAGGATTCAAGAAAGAGGTGATGTGGTGAAGGGGATCCCAGTAGTTCAACCAGGCGATGACCTCTTCTGGTTCAACCGCCCCCGAGTCCTACTTTACCTCATCCAATTTGTTCTTTTTCAGGTATTTCAAACATCACGCACAATGCATTGTTATCTGTGTCCATTATGATAATGTTACAAAACCTGACTGCCCCCACTGGCTCAACCAGAAACCAATCTGATTAAACCGTATTTCAAATATCAAGTGCAATGGATAGATATCATATTAAGTATTACAATCCCCATCAAGTCATCATACTAACTTACCCTGAAATTTTGCATCTTTGTTCCATTATTACAGAATGCATTTCAGCTAGCTTTCTTTGCTTGGGCTTGGGTAAGCATATCCACATGTACTAGTCATTTTCAAGATTTTGAACTTTTCGTGTTATGATCTGATACTTTTTTCGGTCGTAATCTTAATAGTACGAATTTGGAATGCGCTCTTGCTTCCACAACAAAACAGAAGATCTGGTAATCCGGATATCAATGGGGTGAGCTATCGCCTGAAATCATTTATTATCAACATTGAGTAATGTATTCTTTTTAGCACTCTCAAATGTAATAACAATGCTCTCATCAATTCATATTACGCTTGTTTAGGGTAATGGTGCAAATACTCTGCAGTTATGTTATTCTCCCCATTTACGCGTTAGTAACACAGGTAAGACTCGTAAATTCTTGAAACTTATTTACACACACTTCTTGATTCTACGGAGTTATTCTTATGCACTGGTATCAAACAGATGGGATCAAACATGAAGCCAACAATATTCAATGAAAAAGTGGCCAAGGCACTACGTACCTGGCACCAGACTGCAAGGAAGCAACTAAAGCAAAATCAGAACCCGGGATCTATTACACCATTGTCAAGTAGGCCAGGCACTCCACTTCATGCATCCTCCCCTGTTCATCTGTTGCGTTACTACAAAAGTGATCTTGAAAGTGCGAATGCCACTCCAAGGCATTCAAGTTATAGAACCGATCAACCATGGAAAGTAGAAGGATCCGTCTTGAGTCCACGTTATCAAGAGGATGTACCATGGTCTAACCGTGGTAGAACTCGTGACCTGGCAGAAGAAGAGAAAGAGACTCAAGAGTCAAATTCACACCGTACAGGCCCTCAACCTCATTCTTTACATCTCAATATTGACGTCGTCCAATTGGCAGATTTTTCCTTTGATAAAAACTCGAGTGTTTAAATCTCTAAGTAATAGGGAATGCATCAAGTTAGCATTTGCGCATCCTAAAATGTCACAATGTTTTTTGTGGTAGCAATTGTAGAGGCTGTGGCAACTTCTTTTGACAGTCTAGGTAATTTCTTACTATGATGATGGATTCCTCGTGCATAATGGCATCACAAAAATCAATCAAAATTTTTTGAGCTTCAACTGATTGAAAAGAAATCAGATCTTTGGTTCATTACAGTTTCAAAGTTCAAACAACTGGAAGACAGAAATCAACCTATTAGAGGAAATAAATTTTCAACATTCTAATCAAGTTTCACGTATCCTAAACTGCAAATCATGATTAGGATTCTTGCGGCTAAGAACAAAAATCTGAGTAACAATTTTGACAGCCTAATCTCTCCTATAAGGCGTACCCCCACCAAGCACAACTACCAGAACAATGGTGCAATCCAATTCAAAAAGATTTTACAAACCTCATAAAAATATGGCATATGGCGCAAAGATAAAAAAACCAAAAAATTAATCATATCAACCAACTTGTAATTGAGCAGTGATAGAAAACCCCTGTACAGTTGTGCAGAAGTGAAACAAAGTAATGCTCCATCTTGTGATTTCACATAATGATTGTTATAACATTTAACCATAATTATTTCCAAAGCTAAGGAAAGTGGTCCTTCCAACGACATTAGTATGCCTCAAAAAGTACCAATCTGCCGAAGTCATCGAGGATCAAAAGATGTGGTAACGTCCTGTACTTGCGATAAAGCTCTCTCCTCATTGACTAGCTGACCCAATTGATCCACAAGCAGAAAAATAGCATTCCGAGATTTCTCTCTCTTTCATCATAATCTGAATGGAAATCCATGAAAAATCTTGGGCGAGTGTGGGAAAGAAAACCCTTTTAAGGAGAGAAACTCAATTAGATAGTGATGAAAACACAGGGCAATTAAGGTTTCACAAAATAAAATTCTTTGTCGTTCCACTCAACATTGCTCACTCAGCACCTTAGACCAAGGGGTAAGCTTCCTCTTTGCCTAATTTTCAACTTTCATTTGCAACACCGGTTATGACCGTATAAAATCAACTCATCAACCAAAGCCATGGTCATGTTAGTGCACGACTGTCACAATTTGATAGGTTAATCCAATGTCAACTGCCATTCCCAAGTAAAATAGGCAATACGAGGAAAACCTACTTGATGGAATCAACATGTTTTCCTTCTCAAGCAGAAACACGAGACTTGATCTGGTCTAACTCCCACAAAAGCGACCTCATGGGAGCACGTATATGAATAGAGTTTGAGAACCACACGCACCATATGAAACACTTCTAATCATTCAACTAACAATTATTAGGAAAAATAGAAGTATGTCAAATAATATAAAAACTCCAATTAGACAGATAAATCACCTTCGGTGCCTAAGCAATTTCTTCAAACAATTTTACTACTGTTGGATATAGTGAATAGAAACATTACTAACAAACTAAAAAGACCAAAACGACGAAAAGTCACAACACCGTCAGACCCAAAATGGAAGAAATGAACCCATCAAATGACAGAAATAAGCTCAACGGAACAAACTGGCAACTGCCAATCATGGATGAATGCCTTGAATTAATCCAGCACTACGGTAAAAGCTTAAATTCATTTTAACTCGAAGGTCTATTATCTCGAGGAGACGTCATACTCAACACCAATCGAAAGCATCCGATGACAAAAGTCACAACTGATTCAATGTCACAATTTATTCTAACTAGAAGACCTCATAATGAAAAATATTAACGCAATAACATTAAATATCATAGAAAAACTTGAATCTTTGCCAAAGAAAATGCTGCCCGACAGTAACAAAAATCTACTCCCAATACTTCCCTATCGTCTCTCATTTCTTTTTCGTTCCCTTCTTCTGCTGAATTTCTCTCCTTGCTTGACGTCGAGGACGAAGTTCTCCCAATTTGTGGCCAACCATCTGCTCCGATATACGAAAAGGCACGTGCTTCTTACCATTGCGAACAGCAATCCTATGGCCCACCATATCAGGAATAATGGTAGAACACCGGGACCAAGTTTTTATCAATTCCTTGTCCGCCTTTTGGTTAAGCTGCGAAATTGTTTCCACCAAATGATTGGCAACGAAAGGAATCCTCAAAGTTCCGCCGCCATGGAGACGTAGAACAAGGTGGAGTGTAGACTCCTTCTGAAAGTTATAGTTGGCTAGGGTTCTGCCGTCCTCCATCTGTTTTCCAGCGAAAATAAGTCGCTGCTGGTCCGGCAGTATGCCTTCCTTGTCTTGGATCTTGGCCTTGGCACTATCAGTTGTTTCGGAACTCTCTACCTCGAGAGTAATTGTCTTGCCGGTAAAGGTTTTTATGAAAATCTGCATGTTTCTTCCTACTGGAAATGCAAACTGTAGACAAAGAGGAAATAATGGAGGGAATAGAACCTTTTATAGGCTGGAACTAGAATTAAGGGCTCGTTTGAGATTTAATTTTTTTTATCCTGAGATAAGTGATCCCATTTGTGAGAGAAAAAGCCAACAATGACGATTGAAATAGTGAAATAACAATCAAATATTGGATTTTTGAAGGTGAAAAATCAATTTCAAACATGCACTAAACTTGATTGCATCATTGTGTACACTTTAATATGAATCAAACTGATGCTACCAAAAATCGTATCTGTTAGTTTCTCGAGCTTGAGGACTTTGAATAAGCACGATTGTAGTCTTCCGGTTCTTGAAGCAAAGGCAACGAGGTATGTTCTCGTCGCTCCTCCGATACTTAAGTCAGAAAATGAATTATATGCGTGAGGCTATAAATTGAAAAATAATGAAAACGTACCTGAACAATGACCCATGGTCTTGTATTTATAGTAGTAGGTGACATTCTCCTAATGGGACTCAACTAGCTGGGTATCTCTATCCAACGGAGTCCTATTAGGTGGAGGAGTTGGACCAATGCCATAATTATGTTTGATATAGAATCCTTGCGGGAGTCAATTATTGAAGTAATATGGTAGAGTTAGAGTCCCAACTACATAGGAATCCTATTTGGTCAGTAATAACAATTGTGGGATGCTAGGAGAATATATCCCAAGGACCATTCTTGTTCGAGGACAGGATAATGAAAATGAGGATACAACAATGATAGAAGTGCTTGAGCATTATCTCTCGGGGAATAATGCTCGAGCACTCCATATGTGGAATCGCAAGTTTCTGAGAAAAGTCCTCGAGAGTTCGAGCATAATCAAAACTTGCCATATCACTGGCCCCCATGCATTCGACTCTAGGATCGGGCTAAGGAAGTTATGCCAAGGTGCGAGATGCATAGAGCTCGATTTGCTGATAAGTGACGTCGTCGAGATTTTAATGTTCTCAAGGGAGCGTCGATGTGGAAATAGCAAGAATACGAGCTGTCCAGTAAAAATGAGGGGTCCCTAGATTGGAGACACGTGGCATGGGTCAAAGGCTGAGGTTGATGTGACCCTTGGTCTTTCCCCAAGGTTCTATAAATACCCCATGATTCTGTTCATTTTTCATTTTTTACTCTCTGTGAATCTTCAAGTGCAAGATCAGGTTCGAGCTATAAACTTAGCTTTTGTTGTTTGGGTGTCGGGTTCCTTGAGGTAAGGCTATGGACTTTTAAGTTATTTCTTTAGTTTTAAATTGAAGAGAGATGTCAAGCACTGAGAGTGATCGGGGATTTGAGAGTTTGGGTAACTCTGGGGACCGTAGGGCTCAATTAATACCTTTAGTTGTTTCTTTAGATGCTCGACCTAGGGAGTCCGACGTTGTCGAGCTTAAATTTCCCGACGTCCAGTGTAGGTTTAAAGAACACCTAGCTATGCAGGCGATGAGGGAATATGGGCTCATGCACTGTAGGGCTCCCGATCCCGAGGATAGAATGAATAGGGCACAGGAAGGTGAGTGTGTGATTTTTAGGGACTCTTTAAAGGTTGGGTTCAGGTAGCCCATGCATCGATTTTTTTATGGTTTTTTTGGTCGAGCATTCCATGTGCCCGAGACAATTAGTGCCCAATGGATAGAGAATGCTCGTTTACTTCTTCATTGCCCGTAGATACGTAGGTATCACGCCATACCTCGATCTATGTAGAATGGTCTTCGAGCTTAAACAGCTCCCAAGGTTTACATGCTTCGCCTACCTTTCTTCCCGAGGTGCCTTTAGGATCCCAAGGATGCCTAGTTTATTGAAGGGGTGGAAGGATAAATGGTTCTATGTTATAGCTCGAGATCCCGATCTTCTTTTCTGGCCCTTGTAGGATATCCCGGACACAGCAAAGTTTTGTGAGGGACAAGCCTACTTCGAGACTCTAGAGAGGGATTGATAGATGTTAGAGGATCTCGAGCCCTTGGTAAATGATATTGATGATATTCTCAGGGATGACATCCTCAACCTTGTGTGTGCAAAAGGCCTCGAGGGTAGGATATTTATTCTTCTGTTTAATTTATAAATTGTGCTCGATCATAAGCTCTTGCCTAATACTTCATTTTGTGCAGAGATGTCTTTTGATCCATCAACTTTTCGTCGAGCAGTGAACTCTAAGTCTAAAGAGCCCCAGGTCATGGCTCGAGGTCAGAAGAAGGGGAAAAAGAGGCCCCAGGTATATACAACCGATGTTCCTCCTCGAGGTTCGGGAGAATCATCGAGTTCAAGGCCTCGAGCTCCGAGCCCTCTTCCTCCACGACGACAGGGGGTTCTCCCAGACCGACTCCAAGGTCTTCGCAGCCACCTCCTCCTCGTTTTATTCCCAAGGTTGTTGATCTAAACCCCAAGGTTGTTGATCTCGAGGATGACTCCATTCCTCCCGTTGCCTCGATCATCGAGGATTTCGAACGATGCCATCTGGTCCTGAGCATTGTCGCGAAATACAGAGGTGACGTCGGGTTTGACGAGGGCATGAAAGACCTCGAGCTCGTTACCTTGAAAGTAAGTATTGACCCCTTTATGATGTTGTGTAAATTATTTTTCCCATTCTAATGCTCTTTCTTTTTTGATTGTCAAACACTCAGCTTTGCCGGAGGACTTTCACTGCAAGGGATGGATGAGTCCCACAAGGTGGCAAGGTTGGTCGAGGCTGTGGAGCTTCGAGATAAGAAGCTTGTTGATGTCGAGGCTGCTCGATTTTAGCTCCAGAGGGAGCGTGATGATGCAAGAAAAGAGCTGAAGAAAGCCCGAGATGAAGTTGGGTCTGTCAAGGACAAGGCTGAAGAACTAAAGCTTGAGCTTGAATAGCTCAAGAAAGATTTTGGGGCTAAGGTTGAGGAAGCTCGGGCTTCAGCAATCGAGCACTTTAAAAAGTCCAAGGAGTTGGACAGGCTAAAGGGTGAGTAAGTGTTAGGCTCGTACCTTCATGCCCTTAAAGAAGCTTGGGCCTTTCTCAGGATGAAGATGCCCGACGTTGCCCCTAAGGAGCTCAAGATGATCCTTGACATAGCTGAGACCCTTGAGCTGTTAGATTCCAACAACACAGTCGATTATACGGCTGAGGATGAGGATACGCTCGAGGAGGGTGACGCTGCTCCCGAGGATGAGGACCAAGAATAGAACATCCTAGGCCCCCACCCCGATTATATTTTGTATGCACATTGCCCGGCCATAACATAGGGCCTTTTTCTTGTGAATTTTTTTCTTAAATGAATGCTAGATTTTCTTTATCATGTCTTGCTCGATCATAATGTCGATTTATCATCAAGGGCTTATCTCGAGGACTTGGTCGTTTGACAAGTCATAAGTTCGATCGTTGAAGGATTTATATCGATAACTTAGTTGTATAAGAATTTTAATTCCAAGTAATGAACTCGATCATGACAATGATCTCGACCTTTAACATGTTATCTCGACGACTGAATGAGGATTATAATCTGCTCAAAAATCTTGATGACTCAATCCATATGAAGTTTCAGACAAAGGTAATAACTCGATCTTAGGGTCATTCCTTAATATGGAAAATTATCTCGAGGACTAAATTGTAAGAAATGACAATTGTAATTGACATACCTCGATCATTATATTGGGGCTTAACTTGACTTGGCGGACAAGTAAAAAGCTCAATCTTAACCTTGGGTCCTTATCCCGAAGATTTTGTTAAGCATAGATCAAATGCTCGAAGTAATTAAGCTCGAGAAATACGTCGCCTTTGATGACTACTCTTGTTCTCATGTCCCTAAGGACTAGGGAAGTCTCGATCTATGAAAGTGTAATTCCCGAGCTTAATTCCCGATCACACAGCGGACTTTTTGAATGAGTTTTGTGCCTTCGTGCTCGGGATGTTATGTGCTCGGGTATTTACATTGTTTGCCCTAATTGGTATTTCATATGTGCTTGCTTGGAGCAAAGCTTTGTGTGAGGTACTTGCACGGGACAAGGCTTTGAGGTACTTGCACGAGGTAAGGCTTTGAGTGCTTGCTCGGGGCAAGACTTTGATTTGTAGTGATCATATTATCGAATTTAACTTCAATTGTAATATAACTCTATAAATGAACTTGGCACGCAGGCCTTATGATAAAAAAAGAAAATAGATTTGGCACGCAAGCCTTATTAATGATAAAAAAATAGACTTGACACGCAGGCCTTATTAATGATAAAAGATAGACTTGGCACACAGCCCTTATTTCTAAAACATGGTGAAGCGAGTTACTTGTAATATATCTTTAAGTTCTCGGTGTTCCATAGTCTTGGGAGTGGTCTTCCCGAAGTATCATTTAAACTGTATGCGCCTCCTGGGAGCTGTCGTATGACTTCAAACGATCTTTTCCAAACTGGTTCGAGTTTTCCCGGTGCATGACTAGTGGTTTCAGCCCTTCTCAACACCAAATCTCCAGCTCTGAATCTTCGGGGTCTTACCCTTCTATTGAAATACTTTGCTGTTCTATCTTGGTAAGAGGCTATTCTTAAGGCTACATGATCACGAACTTCTTCTAAGAGGTTGAGATGTTCAGTGATGTGTCCTACTTCTTCGAGATTAAGTCTTCTTTGGCTAGGTAATCTTATTTCAATGGGAATGGTAGCTTCGATTTTGAAAGTTAACATGAAGGGGGTCTCCCCGGTGGCAGTCCAGTGGGATGATCTATATGTCCAAAGTATGGAAGGCAACTCGTCGGACTAAGAACCTCTTGCATCTCCAATCCTTGTTCAGAGGTCATGCAATATAATCCGATTGGTGACCTCGGCTAGACCATTACTTTGGGGATGAGAAACTGACGTTGACGGTGGTCAATCCCTAGGTTGGAACAAAAATCCTTGAATTGTACATTGTCAAACTGTCGGCCGTTATCAGTTATGAGGACATTCGTTATCCCGAACTTGCATATGATGGACCTCCAAAAGAAAGTTCTTATCTTAGGTGCTCTGAGATCTTTACCAAGGGCTCGGCCTCAACCCACTTCGTAAAGCACTCCACTGCTTCAACAACAAACTTCAATTGTCCCCTAGTTATCGGAAACGGACCGAGGATATCAATCCCCATTGCTCAAATGGGGCCAAGCAACTGATGTTCGTAAGGTCCTCTGCGGGAGGAGTGGATAACATTGCCAAACCTCTGGCATTTGTCGCACTTCTTCACATATTCTATGACATCTTTCTTCATGGTAGGCCAGTAATATCTGTACCTTATGAGTTTAAAGGCTAATGCCGGAGCTCCTTCATGGTTCTCGCATACTCCTTCGTGAACTTCCTCTAGGGCTTGGGAGGATTCCGAAAGCTTAAGGTACCTAAGGTACAAAAGTGTGAGGCTCCTGCGAATAAAACCCCACAAATAATGCAATACCTAGGAGCTTTTGACCGGACGCTCCTTGTTGCCCGAGGATCTTCTGGAGGATTGCCATTTGTTATGAAATCCATAATTGGGTCCATCCATGATGGCTCATGATCGATGTCCATGACCTTAACGTTTGGATTGACGCTAGGCTCGGTCACAAATCTGACATGTACTATCCTATCAAGTCCATCTACTCCTATGAACACCAACCTTGATAAGGCATCTGCCTTACAGTTGTCAGCCGGGACGATCTTCACAATTTCACACCTCTTCAATTTTCGTCGGAGATCATGAACTTTTAAGCAGTATAAGCTCATTTTTTAGTCTTTCTTCTCGAATGTACCGTCAATCTGGCCAACCACCAACTGGTAATCACTAAAAATTTTGATGCTTTCAAGTTCGAGATTAATGGTAAGTTCCATGGCTATGATGATAGCCTCATACTCTGCTTCATTATTGGTTGCCTCAAATTCGAACCTAAGTGCACACTGAATGTCTATGAGCATGTCTGGGCTCGTGATGATGACCCCGGTACCCGAGCCCGAGGAGTTTGATGACCCATCCACGAAAATTTGCCAAACATCTGTTGTAGTGCTCGAGCTATCATCTGGCCCTCGAGGCCTTGGAGTAATTTCTGCAATAAAATCCGCTAAGGCTTGGGCTTTGATGGACAGACGGGGTTTGAACTCTATGTCAAACTCTCCAAGTTCAATTGCCCACTTTAGTAACCTGCTTGAGACGTCTGGATTTTGAAGGATGTGTTTCAGAGGCTAATTAGTGAGCACCACAATGAGATGAGACTGAAAATATTGTCAAAACTTTTGTGCTACCACTATTAGGGCACGGGCAAGCTGCTCAGCCAAAGTGTATCTGGTCTCTGCATCAAGTAGGACTTTACTTACGCAGTAAATGGGTTGTTGGGCTCTGTTGACCTCTTTCACCAAGACACCGCTCACTGCGTTTTGAGACATGGCTAAATACAACAGCAAAGTATCACCAGGCTTTGGTTCAGTGAGGATAGGAGGAGACGCTAGTGTCTGTTTGAGCTCCTAAAAAGCCTTCTTACACTACTCATTCTATTCAAAGGATTGGCTGCCTCTAAGAACTTTGAAGAAAGGGAAGCACATGTCTGCTGCCCGGGACATGAACCTGTTTGGGACTGCTATCCTACCTGTTAATTTTTGCACCTCTTTCTTAGTCCTGGGTGATTCAATTGCTGCCCAAGCCTGGATCTTATCGGGGTTTGCTTCTATTCCCCGATGAGTGATCATGAAGCCCAAAAATTTTCCCGAAGCTACACTGAACACACACTTCTCTGGGTTGAGCTTCATTCGATATTTTTGTAGTCAACATAGGCCTCGATGTTCTTCCTTGTCAAATTAGCGAAGACTTTGTTGATGAGCCTCTAATATGTTGCCCCAGCATTTTTCAACTGAAACAGCATCATCCTATAGCAGTATAGGGCTAAATCAGCCATGAATGAAGTCTTTTCTTGGTCTTCCTCGTCTATAAGGATTTGATGATACCCTAAGAACGCATCTAAGAAGCTGTACAACTTATGTCCGGATATGCTATCCACAAGATTGTCTATTTTGGGGAGTGGGTAGTTGTTTTTAGGGCATGCCTCGTTGAGATCTGTAAAGTCGATGCAGACGCTCCATTTACCACTAGTCTTCTTCAGAAGAACAACATTAGCGAGCCAATCTGGGTATTGGGTTTCCCTTATGAACCCCGCTCTCACCAGTTTGAGGACATCTTTCTGAATGACCATGTCTTTCTGGCGCAAATTGCCTCTTCCTTTGATTAATAGGTTTGGTCCCTGGGCTTATGTTGAGTCTATGGACTGCTACTTCAGAATCTATTCCCGGTATATCTTCGACCTTCCATGTAAAAATATCAATGTTGCGATACAGATAATTGATGACTTCCTCTCGAAGGCTGGCCTTGAGATCCCGACCAATTGTTATCGTTTTTCCATGCTAGAGCTCGACCACTTCCAATTCTTCAACCGAGGCAAGTCTACCCGCTCGAGCTCGAGGTCTGAAAGTTGCATGACATCTGTACTCATTCCTCGGATGCTAGTAACATAGCATGGTCTGACAGCTGTTTGGTTTCCTCGAACTACTCCGATGCCATGATCTGTTGGGAACTTCATGGCTAGGTAGAAAGTTGATACAATGGCTTGGATCTTGTTCAGTAGGGGTCTTCCCAGAATAATGTTGTAAGCCATAGGAGTATTAACCACTTATAATGGTGTGATCTCCGTTACTTGTGCATTGTCAGAATCCAATGTAAGCGAAAGCTCGACGATGCCTTCCGGGATAATGACTCCACCACCAAATCCCTGTAGAGGAGTTTTTACTGCTCTGAGCTGTTTGGGAGAGATCTTTATTTTAGCGAAAGCCTCCTATGAGAATATGTTTGCTGCACTCCCATTATCAACCAGAATCCTCTTTATTTCAAAGTTAGTCATAATTGCAGAGACGACCAAGGCATCGTCATGAGGATATGATACTCCTTCCAAATCTCTTGCTCCAAAAGTAATGTCTTTGAGTTTATCATGGGATTCCCTTGAGGTATGAGCATGTTGACTGGCATATTGCTTTCACCCACTACTTGTGTCTCATCCAGATGCTATGCCTCCAATGATAATATTAATGGTCCCGACAGTGGGTTGAGCACTGCTTCCAGCTCCAAGCTCTTTTTGATTGTCACGATCTTTTCTCGGGCGTTTATCATGACAAATATATTTTCTTAAGAGCCCTTTTTTAATGAGGGCTTCAATTTCCTGCTGCAAGGCTTGACAATCCTCCGTGGTATGCCCATGATCTCGGTGAAATTCACAATACTTGCTCCTATCTCTTGTGTCAGGGGACGACTTCATTCTTGAAGGCCACTTCAACTCTTTCATATCTTTGATCTCCATTAAGATATGTGCCTTGGAGATATTCAATCGGGTGAGAGGCCCTAGTGGCCCTTCATTCTTGTGCTTTTCCCAAGGATGCTCTTGTCGGGAAACGGGATCATGTTGCTTATTGCTCTCAGCCTTTTCGTGGGAAGGACCAGATCTCCTTGGATTCAGCGTTTCCTCCATACTAATGTATTTTTCAGCTTGGGTGAGGAGGTCGGTCACTGTTTGTGGCGGTGTCTTCGATAAGGATATCTTGAAGGCTTCACACCTTATGGTGTATGTAAAGGCTAAGACAGCTGCCGTAATGTGAAGGTCAGGTATTTGAAGTCTTTCCTTGTTGAGCCTCGTCATAAATCCTCACAGGGTCTCATTTAGTCCCTGGTGAAGTTGCATGAGAGAGGCATCAGTCTTTCTAATTCGCTTGCTACTTGCAAAGAAGGCTGAGAACTTATCGGCCAAATCTGAGAATGAGGCTATGGAGTTAGGCTTCAATGTCGAGAACAAATCTCTAGTAGCATTAGTCAGCGTTTGCAGGAAAGCTTTGCATATAACTTGATCCGGCGCTACTTGCAAGTTCATGACATTGGTATATACATTGAGATGATTGATCGGGTCGGTTGTCCCATCATATTCTTTAATGCGAGGCTATTTGAATCTGTCGGGTAGGGGATCTGACAATATCTCCGACATGAATGTGGTGTTAGGGGTAAAACTCATTGGCCCTCAAGCATTCCGTTGCAGGTCGGCTGTAATTCTTTCTTGAATGATCCGGACAATTTCTCTGGAATCCATAGCAACCGATCTTGAGCCCGAGGCCATGTTACGAATACTCGAGGTCCCTACTCCGCCAGTTGCGGGGTTTGGTGCTCGGGCTCGAGCATCGCCTATAAAACCACCATGCTTTGTCTGCACCGGTAACGGATGCGAATTTCTTTAACTTAACAGCTGCATTAGCGTGGCCACCTGCTGACAGAGCTCTTCGAAGGCTTCAGTTGTGACGACCGCCGACTGGGGTGCGGGTACTCCTGACGACTCTTCTTGAGGAGCTGGTTGATCTTCAGCACGATGAGGGATGAGAGCGGATGAGCTTGCGGGAGGAAGACCTAATCGCGTGTTAACTATGGCTTTTGATAGCGTTTTCCACGGACGGCGCCAATGATGCTACCAAAAATCGTACCTGTTGATTTTCCGAACTTGAGGACTTTGAATGAGCACAATCGTAATCTTCCGGTTCCTGAAATAAAGGCAACGAGGTATATTCTTGTCGTCCCTAAACTGGAGAATAATAAAAACGTACCTAAACAATGATCCATGGTCCTGTATTTATAGTAGTAGGTGACATTCTCCTAGTGAGACTCAACTAGCTGGGTATCTCTATCCAACGGAGTCCTATTAGGTGGAGGAGTTGGACCAATGCCATAATTATGTTTGGGATAGAATCATTGCGGGAGTCAATTATTGAAGTAATATGGTAGAATTAGAGTCCCAACTACATAGGAATCCTATTAGGTCAGTAATAACAATCGTGGGATGCAAGGAGGATATATCCCAAGGATCGTTCTTGCTCGAGGACAGGTTAATGAAAATGAAGATATAGCAAGGATAGAAGTGCTCGAGCATTATATCCCGATGAATAATGCTCGAGCACTCCATATATGGAATCACAAGTTTCTGAGAAAAGTCCTCGGGATAAATGTTCAAGCATAACCAAAACTTGCTATATCATGTACAGAACCAATAATTGTTCAAAATAACAAAATTTACTCTGAGATTTCTGAAATATCAAAATCTTATGTTTGGACACATTCAATAATGTATATAAATAAAGTGGTCAAAGGGATACTAACAAGTCGTGTAGAACCACTAGCAAAGATCCTAAACAATGAAGGCACCATCAAAAAATAAATCAAGTTGGCATTTGCCTACAATGTCTATTTGAATCCATTTCCTACGTTCCGAGGATTATGTAAAATATATTTACAAGAAGATCGGGTATAATATAACAGAATGTGAGTACATCATTTCTCCTCCGCGCTCTCATCCAAAGCAGAAGCCTTGCAGATTGGGCATAAATTCTTGATCGATAACCATTTCCGTATACAGCTCACATGATAATTGTGGTGACAGATTTTCAGAGTTGCGACATCATCCAAGTTTTTGTATTCCTCCTGTTAAAGACGAAATAATTGCACCAGCTGAGCAAAACTTTCCTTTTTTAGTAGTTATATAAAATTCTTGCCGGAACAAGGCGAATATAAACATGAGCAGACAAAAAGTTTCGATAATCTATATACATAGTTCATGCTAATATCTCCAGCCCAAACTATGGAAATCTATATAGAGCGTGGACACATTCAATAATGTATATAAATAAAGTGGTCAAAGGGATACTAACAAGTCGTGTAGAACCACTAGCAAAGATCCTAAACAATGAAGGCACCATCAAAAAATAAATCAAGTTGGCATTTGCCTACAATGTCTATTTGAATCCATTTCCTACGTTCCGAGGATTATGTCTAAAATATATTTACAAGAAGATCAGGTATAATATAACAGAATGTGAGTACATCATTTCTCCTCCGCGCTCTCATCCAAAGCAGAAGCCTTGCAGATTGGGCATAAATTCTTGATCGATAACCATTTCCGTATACAGCTCACATGATAATTATGGTGACAGATTTTCAGAGTTGCGACATCATCCAAGTTTTTGTATTCCTCCTGTTAAAGACGAAATAATTGCACCAGCTGAGCAAAACTTTCCTTTTTAAGTAGTTATATAAAATTCTTGCCGGAACAAGGCGAATATAAACATGAGCAGACAAAAAGTTTCGATAATCTATATACATAGTTTAAAATATATTTACAAGAAGATCGGGTATAATATAACAGAATGTGAGTACATCATTTCTCCTCCGCGCTCTCATCCAAAGCAGAAGCCTTGCAGATTGGGCATAAATTCTTGATCGATAACCATTTCCGTATACAGCTCACATGATAATTGTGGTGACAGATTTTCAGAGTTGCGACATCATCCAAGTTTTTGTATTCCTCCTGTTAAAGACGAAATAATTGCACCAGCTGAGCAAAACTTTCCTTTTTTAGTAGTTATATAAAATTCTTGCCGGAACAAGGCGAATATAAACATGAGCAGACAAAAAGTTTCGATAATCTATATACATAGTTCATGCTAATATCTCCAGCCCAAACTATGGAAATCTATATAGAGCGTGCATTATGTGTGATGTGGCGTGGGTTCTCACCAGACAGATAATACACTTTTCTTCTTCTTGGAATTGGTCTGACGAACAATATATCAACTCAGTCAAACACTTCGAGATCAAAGTCTCAGACAAGCCAGTGCTGACATTTCCAATCCTCTCCCCTAGGGCGAGGAGTTCCTGTTCATGCCGACACTGTTTAGTAACTAAAGTAACAAAAGGGTAAGGAGTAAAGGGAAGTATAATGTGACCTCATAGCTCATGTTGTCTATGTCAAGCCTCATGCCCGTATGCTGATCAGAGGGATATCTGGATCCATAATATGCTGACTGACCCACGAGACCCTGAACATTGATGAACATGGAGAAATATTCTCAGTTGTGCAGAAATATATAATGTCTTAGTATCATTAACCAATACGTAAAGAAACAAATCTTATCTTGCCCTCAAAAAATGCTTTTTGAAGAAATATAAAATTATCTATCTCGCCTTACTTCCTAAAGCACCAAATCCATCAACTACGATTAAACCAAATGGAAGAGACTTGAAAGAACACATCAAGCACAACGGACAGATACATATGATGAATTTCAAGTACTAAGTTCTACCTAGATCAAAAAATTCACGAATCATGACTTCTGTCATGAAAAATTTCTGTGCCTAGCGTGAGATTCCATTTTTTCCCAGGATAAACAGTATTTATTACGAGAATGAAAAAAGTGCATACTGTTTAATAAAGAACAAGGTCTCCTTGATATAAAGAGAAGCCAAAAGAATAAAAGAACAACAAACAAATTATTCCTCCCAACCATAATACACATATTTTATAATTTTGATTACTTTAACAGCTAGTTGCCTTCACCCACAAATAGGAAAGGAATCCATTCCCATAAGCACTGAGATGTCCATTTGTGATCTGAAAAATATTCTCCCACAAGTCTATACCAAATACAACTAATAATTGCAATCGTGCCAACTTCAACAAAATATTATCATCCTAACTCCACAACGAATTGGTGTGGTATATTCATATCATAATATATGAACAATAAGAACTACCATTCTTATTGAGACTAGAACTCATGAGGAAAAAAACAAATTTATAGATGGAATCAAATATGTAGTATTTATAGACAAAAGTATTCGGTTATTGGGGAAAAATTAATATACTTCTAATGTCGAATCAAAATCAACTACGACAGAAATACTCCTGCCTCCATCATCTCTTCCAAATTGACGTTCCAATATCTTCTTGTCATCCCCCCCCCCCTTTTTTTTTTTTTAAAAAAAAAAAAAAAAGGAGAAACTCTGAACTCAAATGACTGCACCAAATACATAGAGTCAAAAAGATGAATCTGCTCTTAGGAATCATTAAATCCTATAAATGATTGTTCTGATTTATTATGGAAATTCTTTGAAAGACAAATCAAATAATTTTCTGTGGTGAAACAAAATATCTCAAATTCCCCCACAAATAAATAAATAAATATATATATATATATATATAAATTTTTTT